GAGTTTCACTTCAGCTGGGAACTATAATGCACAACTCCTTGGCGCTTTCTGCTTGTATCCAGAGGATCCAGAGTACACAAACTGTGGATTCAGATAAGTTGCATGCGCACGCGCAAACAGACTTTCTTCAGCGCCCTCTTTAACATGAACACGCCAAAAGCACTTTACAAGAAATTTGCGTGGACACGAATGAACATATGGAGCACTCTCACTTTCTCTCGACTTCGAGTGTTGGCAAGCATGCCGACAGAACTTATCCAAGGGGAGGGAGGATAACAATATTCCCAGGGGGGGTGGCAGTCAGGAAATTTGCTTAAATTTAAAGAATACCGTCTTCTGGGATGTGGCGCCGTGTAGATATTTTGTTAACCGACGATTAGGAAGAACGCATTGCCTCCATCTTCAGGGTATAAGAAATTCGCAGGCGATGAACCAGCGTAAGTAGGTCGCGGATTTCTTATACCCTGAAGATGGAGGTGATACGTTCCTCCGAAACGACGTTAACACAACATCTACACGGCATTCTTTATTGTCACCGCCGTGAAAACTTTGTTACATATTTGCTTAAATTTAGTTTAAGACTATTTCTGCTAATCGCCCTAGAAATTCCAGAATAAATAAAACAATTAAATTTAAGAAGTTCTAATTTTGTAAATACTTGATAAATTTCATTCTTCGTTTCAGAATTAATTTCTTTTTTTAAATCCAGCATGACTGGCAGATTCCTCGCACCCCACCCCCATGCGCCAGTATCCGTGCTTTCAGGTTCCCAGTCCCACATCCTGTTCCTGTGGATCCATCATAACAACATCCACCCGTTTACGTCTGGATCTCCCATGTGAGTTCTTCCCGCCAGGATTCCCGACTGCAATATTGTATTCCTATGGATACTTTATATCATCCTCCGTACTACAAGTCCCGCCCATCTCAATCTTCTTAACTTTCACAACTCAATGACATTTCGTGAAGAGAAGAAAATAACGGCGCTCCTAATTAGGCCTATACAATTTTCTCCGCTCACCTGTTGCTTCCTGTCTCTTGACTACAAATGCTTTATTTCCCATTTCATTCTCGAAAATAAAAAACACCTACATATACGTACATCTAAGTCCCATGATTTTTTCACAATTCGTAACACCTTAAGTTCCTGTCAGTTTTGTTAAAATCCTTCATTTCAATTACAGTATCAAGAGCAAGTGTTTTACGTATTCCTAGTTTCAATGTACAAACAGACGCATCCCGAGTGAAACAGGCATTAATTTAACAACTCTTTTAAAGCTGCTACTTCAATACAACAGTATCGCATATTAGCCTAACTGTAAGGTAAAAGTAAAGTTGTCCCTGTGCTTATTTAATTAAACACCGCGCCATGTAGACATATGGGGGAGTGAAAGTATAGCTCCACCACTCTCGACCTCGACACTAGATAGACTTCAGTGATCAGCTTAACGCGCCTGCCGTCTTACTCCCGGAGACAGAGTCGCCGGTACCCAGCAGGCTGGGTGCGAAATATGGAGCTGAAGACAAATTTCTCCGCCGGAAATCGAAACCCGGCCGTCTAGCCCGGAGATCGTCGCTATACCGACTGAGCTATCCCTGCTATAGACGTAATAATGCGAAATATTTGGAAGACAACTGACACGAACATAAGCCGTATGCAAAGAAATACGGTAGGTCCAAAAAACTGTGAAACCCTCTTCCAAATATTTCGCATTATTACGTCTATAGCAGGGATAGCTCAGTCGGTATAGGGACGATCTCCGGGCTAGACGGCCGGGGTTCGATTTCCGGCGAAGAAATTTGTCTTCAGCTCCATATTTCGCACCCAGCCTGCTGGGTACCGGCGACTCTGTCTCCGGGAGTAAGACGGCAGGCGCGTTAAGCTGATCACTGAAGTCTATCTAGTGTCGAGGTCGAGAGTGGTGGAGCTATACTTT